TAAATACAACAGAACTCTAATATCTCTGGAAACAATTTTGTCAATTAGAAAGCTATGGAATGTACTGTCTAATAAAAAAAGAACTGACCATTTTTCCCATGCCAGATTGACTTTATGGGGAAACCCAACTTTAACAATTGAGAAAAAGATGGTGATATGGAAAAATTGGATGGAAGCAGGGATACTGACATTGGGCCAACTGATGATGAAGATGAATTTTTAACATATGATGTGTTAAGAGATAAATATCACCTATCAGATATATCCCAATGGCAATATTTACAGATAACAATATTTGTTAACAACATTGTTTGGACCAGCAGCATTCTCAGCTTCTGAAACACCTGAGATACTAGAACAACTGGTTAAATCCTTTAGAACTAAAAAACCTATTAGTTTTTATAGATATTTGTTATCAATAATCAATCTGATATGCAGATGTTAGCAATAAAGAAAGGAATGTTTAAGCTTACATTTGAATGTACAAGTTATCACGTATTTGTGACCCAGTTTTCCTTTTTTATCATACGATGACTGTCCATTCTGTCAATACAATTGATATCTGAGGAAAGGCAATTTTAACAAATGAAAAAAATTATATTTTTAGGGTATTCAAGGCCCAAAAGGTATGCCTGGTGTGAAAGGGTCACGAGGAATAGGACTGCCTGGACAAAAGGTATGTATTTATGTATTAAATTTATATGCTGCCCCAATCTGTTACAACTGTGGCGGGCTTACAAAATACAACAATAAAAGCACAATAAGGACACAGAATATGTCATCAAAAGTGAGTCCCGAGAAAATCAACAATCAGTTAAAAGACCAAAACATCCCAAGGGTTTTACCACTCTTTCTAACCTAGGGCCTGGGGATATTGCCAGGTTTTAAGGACTCATTTCAAAAGGCCAGGGTGGGCCCATGAAATAAATGAATATATTATGCAATAAATAATTTCAGGCTAGCAGTCAAAGTGCAGTAAATACAGTATACATCATTTGCATCTAGGAAGAGTTTTAGGTGTTATTAATTATATTAATAAAGCATAAACAAATTTCTATATTGTGTATTTAACTCCACTATAATACAGATAAAGATCTGTCAGGGGATTACTGCTGTGCTAACTTACATATTTAAAACTTTTAAGTCCCAACAATTTTCTATAATATAATTGGCAATTAACAACATCAAGAAAAGCACAGAAGTATGAAAAAATAGTAGGGAATCCCATATAACATCAATAAAGTTAGTTTAAAACGTTCAAACAATAGTTTGGTAAAAATATGAATGTCAGATGACCTGCATGAATTGGGGAGTGTCCATGTGAATTTAGCTATTGCAGTTTCTTTCTACTTCTAGAATTTTCTTTCTTCTTCCAATGTATGAAGGGTGTATAATGCCTCCAGCATGATGCTGGTGATGATAGCTTCTGCCCAGCTCCTGTGGGGCATTTGCCGCTGTTGCGGGCACATCTCCATTCTGTTCCCTGGCCATTGTTTTCCACGACTATTCTGCTTTTAGCCACAGGCAGCCCAGTTCTTTCTTTGTGTCAAAAAGGCATCTTTGCTGACTTTTCTTGCCTCCCCTTTGGAATTCGCAGAAAATCAGGGATTACTCAGAGGGAGATCAGGGGAAGTATGAGGTGGAGGAGAAGCTAAAGAGCTACTCCCCCACTTCCCTTCCCATCTTCTCTGGCCACCTGATTCACTCTGAGGGCTGGACATCTTTATTATGTAGGGTGGCTAAAAAGAGCCTTCCCCTCATTCCCTTCCCTCCCTTAAGATTAAACTTGGAAAGGCTACTACATATGCAGAAGTGAAGGGCTCTATTCTTCACATGGAAAATAATGTTCAAGGGGTAAAGTAATAAGTATATCCATAAATAGATTATTATATGAATCATAAATTAGGAGGAAATATTTGTTTGTTTGTTTGTTTTTACAAGGGAGAAATGGGTCCATCTGGACAAAAAGGAGATATAGGAGCACCAGGAAGTGGACAACCTGGACCTAAAGTAAGCCTGTTTTGCACCCATAGATCTACAATTTGTTTAATTTTTGCTTGAGGGAATGAAGGCTTGTAAACTTCCTTTTGAGCTGTGATTCTGGCAACTGCATAACCCAAAGATTTGTTTCTTTGAATGTAGTAGAAATATCTATTACACCAGTTAATAATGGCATACAAATATTTGTCAGTATTTCTGGCAAAGCACACCATAATGATGGTCCAGAGGGCATTCTCGCAACACTGAAGCCTGACAATATCAGAGTAAGTTAAGGTACTCACTTTCTTTCAAGATAAAAGTAAAGGTTCTTAACTGAATTGAATGCATTTAAAGAATTAGAATGCAAAGTAATCAAGCATCCTTCCCCAAACAACGCAAATATGTTGAAATTCTTTTCTTTTACATTAAAAAACCCCCACTTTCTTTCAAAGGGAGACCCAGGAAGACCAGGATTTCCAGGAGAAATTGGGAGACCAGGAATAATAGGGATATCAGGGAAAAAGGTAATTGGTTTGTTTATCTCATATATATGGCTCTCCCAGACAGGACTGTAGATCCATCAGTGGAGTGAGACAAAGGCACCCCTTTATGTTCCTATGCCCCCATCACCTTCATGTGTTTGAAGCAGGAAGAAGTTGGGAATCTACCATGATTGTGCGTGCATAGGAGTAGTGCTATGGGAATGGAGGGGGTACATTTCTACCTTGCTCCATTGATGAATTGTGCCTGGAAGATCCTGCAGATACTTTCCTGAAACAAAAAGTTTTGGTTAACACCATATTCTACCCCACCAATTTTGCCTCAAGATTCACTCATGCAGCTTCACAGAGATCAAGTTCTAGTTACATTTTTTATCCATGCTGCTATATTATGTGTGCATTTATAGTAATGAGAATATGGATGTGATCATGTGGACCAGTCATCGCATCCTGTGCAGGCTTCTTCACATTCTCTTTTTCTGTCACAATTATGCTGGGATAGGAGGCCAATTAGATGCAACCATAGAAGAACCATGAGTTTGATATCGAAGTATGAAGCCGAGAATGGAAGACAAAAGGTTGTGCATGTGGGAGAGAAGAAGTTTTTATTGCTTATATCCACAGTTCATCACAGTAGATTACTTTTCCCAGTAAAACTCTGATACTGGAAATGAGCCTGGCTTAGGGAAAAGCACCTGGAAGAGTGACTAGAGTGGAAAACCATACGAGGATTTAGCACTCTTACCTTTTGCTTGCATGTCCTTTTGACTCCTTGAAGCACGTGGGCATCCTCCCACACTTTGTACATGAATGGGGTGGATCCAGTGTAAAAGATGCCAGTCAGCTGTTTTTTAAATATAATTTGGGCCTTAAGCAGTAAGGAGCACGCTATTCTCCATGCTGTTCCAAATTTATACTAAAAAGAAACTTTTACTATTATATTTAGATCTTTTAAATCTCACACAACCATTCCCATATTTTTTTTTTTTTTAATAGAGTGAATGTATAGATACTTCACTACCATAATCTGGGATTCAACTGTTGCATTTTTTATATGTTTATCTGTCAGCTACTGAACCTTTTCATGTTTTAGTTTGTTGTTCCAGATGTGCTGGGAATACTGTTTTGTTTGTTTTGGTAGAGTGCAATATATATTTATAGTGTTGAGTGGAATTAATGCCTTAATCTTATTTATGATAGGGGGAACAAGGACTGCCTGGTCCAAGAGGCCCAGAGGGAATGCCGGGGAAAGGGGACATGGGTCCAAAGGTATGATTTAATGCATTTCTTTTGTAATTGTGAAGTATGGGAGCAGAGAGGTAAACATTCTTGAAGAATCAAGCTGTACAATTGGTAGTTTTTTAGTCCAAGGTGATGCTTCTTCAAAAATGCTTCCAAGTTTAATTATTTTCAGTATAACTTATAAAAAAACTTGTGAAGAAGAAATTGCAGTGATTTTTAGTTGTTCGTACTTGGGCTGAGATCACAAAGTGTGGCAAAGAAAAGACACTCTCATTTAAAAGAATATCCAAGCTGCAGCTCAGATGTGGCCTGCTGGATCTGCTTTTCCACATCAGTTAGACCTGGAGAGAGAAAAAAAAACCTTTGCATTGGCTTTCTTATGAGGCCTTTTTCAAGAATAATTATAATGCAGAGTATCATCTGAGGGACAGGATTTTTTCATGCAAATCTCTAGTTGTCAAAAGTTATGATGACAGGTCACAAATTTAATCCAAAACAAGCCAAGGAAGCCATATTTTGCAAAATATCTGCCAGATTACATATGTTACAACATGAGTTCTCCAGTGATTCTATACCAGGCAGACTATGAAGCAAAGGGGTGGTGGTAAACTTGTTAAACCTGGAGCTTAAAAATGAATTGGAAGAAGGCAGTGGCAAACCACTTCCGTATTGCTATTAAGGAAAGTACATGGACATGCCCGTAAAATCATTAAGAGTCAAGCTGAACATAAAGGAGATTTTACTTTATTTTCTGCTTTATATGTTGGAATAGAGAAAAAGAGAACAGATTTAAGTGTGTAAGGCTTTATTAGATCCTATGCAGGCTTCAGTTGCAGGACAAAGGAGTAATATCTTGAAACAGATTCAAGAAACCAGCAAAATCACTTGCCAAGAAAGTTGGAGCCTTTTAATATATGAAGACGAAAAATGCCTGGAATTTAGGCCCATCACACACTCACTGCTTTTTTCCCCCATAGCATGGATCTGTTCTAAAAAATATTCCGAGGTAGACGCCATAGTTAATCAATTCAGATTGCCACCAGATAGATTAGGTGGAAGCCTCTGTATGCTAATATGCCTTTTTTTTTTTTAATCAGGGTGAAGAAGGTCAGAAAGGTGCTCAAGGATTGGATGGCCCAAGAGGTATTGCAGGCCCTCCAGGACCAAAGGTGTGTTTAGTACATTGTTGAATTGTTTCTGTGTGATGGCATTTGGTATCCTGAGCTACACCTGCATGCAGATTATCAAATACAGTTCCTATCAGGCCAATGCAGTTCATATGATGCGGTTTTGTGAGACAACAGCTCCAGTGATCCCAGGTAGCATGATTATTGCAGAATGTAAGTTATAGTCTAACACAGGGGTTCTCAGAGTACGGCCTGTGGGCCGGATACAGCCCTCCAGGGTCATGTATCCGGCCCACCTGCCTGATTGGCCACCGCTGCTGTCTGTCAGAAGCGGAAGTGTCAGGGCTGTGTTGGGGGCTGTGAGCGATGCACGAGGAGGGAGATCGCAGAGCCGGACTATTCTACATGACAGATATGCCAGGTCCGGCGGCTCTCCTCCTCTCCTCAAACTATAGTCCGGCCCCCCAACATTCTGAGGGAGAGTGAACTGGCCCCCTGTTTAAAAAATTTGAGGGCCCCTGGTCTAACATACCTGAAGAACATCTTGCTGGAAAAGGCTGATAAAATGTATATGATTTGCAAATCATGGAAGTCAGGTGGATTCCACAAGTATCAATGTATCTCAGTGTTTCTCAACCTTAGCAACTTTAAGATATGTGGACTTCAGCTCCCAGAATTCTTTAAAACAACCTGGATACTAGTTCAAAGATTTCAGAATGACACAAACCTCAAAGTAAGAGCAAAGATCCAAGTCTTACGGATATGCTATCACTAAGACATGTCCTACAACTGAGTTGTTAAATTAGGAATTAGCAAAAAGGAAAATAAGGAATTATAATATGCCTGTTAAATGTTAGCTGTTTTCAAATAACTCTAAAGGAGAAGAGGAATAATTGCAATCTAAATGTCTTAATCCAGAATTTTGAGGTGATTTTTAACATCCTGCCTCATATTGTGATTCAGTATTAATGATGAAAGAACCAATAACATGAGTCCAGACAATTGTCATAATTTCAGTTCTATTGACTTTAGGGCTGTGCAGTGATTTGGATTTAAAGGCAGAAAGATATTTCAGAGTACGCACACTCAGAACCTGTCTGCAGCTCCTGTCTTTTCCAAGGATCGTGCTTTTCCCAAGAAAAGATGCAGCTGTTTTAAGGAACTGTAGACCAGTGTTATATGAGCATTGCCATAGCCCCAGAAGCAATGTTTGCCTTTGAATCTGAAGTGCTGCATAGTTATACGGATTTTAAAGCATCTGTTTTAAAAATGTATATGGCTTAAGGCCATAGATGATATCAGCTAACTTAATTTTGCACTTCAACAAAATATTTTATAATCTTTTTAAGAGTCTGTACAGAACTGAGAGTTTTCTTTCCACTGAGTGCTTAAAATACAAATAGCAAATGTATTGATATCCAAGTATATAAACTGATTGTTTTCTTTTAGGGTGAACCTGGAATCAAAGGTGACATTGGTCCTGCTGGACCTTCAATACGTGGGCTACCTGGCCCCAAGGTAAATAACTTATTGGGTGTTCACAGGAAGAATATTTATCCGATGTTAGCTCTGCAGGGTAGTTCAGACTACAGGCACAACCAAGAGTACTAGCTCTATCTTATTGTAAGATTACATTAACATAATCTTGCAAGACTGAAAGTATTTCTCCCCTCCTTTCCGTTTTCTCTCCAGAATACTAGGGAGGGTCCCTTCTGAAACTTTTCCCACAACCTCTCTCCTTCTGTTGGCTGAAGGTTGTCCAGTCTGCGGCTCTCCCTCCCTCTAATTCCCACATACCATTACATCTGAATACAGGAATTTCCAAAGGAATAGCCATTATTAGATTGCAGCAAAAAAAGAGTTTTGTGGCACTTTAAAAAGTAACTTTATAATGGTATATATTTTAAGAGATTATAGTCTACTTCATCAAGGGCATGAAGCATTGTCCTGGGATAGCAGCATATGTACAATGCAAGAAAGGGCAAGATAATAAAGAGAAATGCAAGAGAAATGCAGTATATAAGGTACAGGTAGTGATAATCAAATTCTTTACAGTGGCCGTTCACCAAACAGCTGTTAGATTTGACACAAACATTTTTGTGTTGCTGAGCCAATCAATCACCTGTAGCATGACAGTACCTTTGGTTCTGTTGAGTCCCCTGGAAATACCATTGAACCATTTAATCAGTTGTAGCTAAGCTGTTTTGAAGTGAAACTGGTTTTCATAATTCCTTTGCATCTGTATGGTGTCTCCTGCCCATACATGAAGTCTCCAGTTGATCAAACCATTGGTCCATTCAGCTTAGCATTGCTTATATTTGCTGTTAGCAACTTTACTACAAAATCTTTCCTGGGATACATCAAGACATTTTGTGTGCAAAATATGTGCCATTTTGCATGCTATGAGTTAAAACTCTTCCTAATTAATTGTAAACTAAATGGATATTATTTTTACAAGACTGAGAATTTTATTTTAAATTCCTCTTCTAACAGAAAATCATATGAAATAAATTCTTTTTATTTGTAGTTTTGGAATTTGAATAATTGTTGGAAGGATCTTCTCCCAGTCATAGTTTGAGACATAACTGCTCATCAAAACATTTCAGATCAATACCTGAAATTGTCATTTTCCTAAAAAATCAAACATTGTGTGATTGTTTTAATTTATTCTTATTTGTATGTTTAGGGTGAACAAGGATACCCAGGCCCTCCTGGAAATGATGGAAGCCCTGGACATACAATTTTGGGACCTAAGGTAATAAATAAATCAATAAATATTATTCAGTATTTGTAATTTAAGAATGAAGTGAACTGAATATGACCTCATGCCGATATGAACATTTTAATTTAGTATTAATAGTAAGGAAAGGCAACCTGTGATTCCAAGTTTACATGTGGTCTCTGACTCTCATTTTAGAATCACTTCTGACCCTGAATGTTAAAAACTGATCATATACTTTTCTTCTATTAGAGTTGGGTGTAAGTCCTGAAAGTGTAGAAGTATAGTGTAAATCCTAAAATAGTATTATCAGAATTAAACAAACAAGGAAACAAACCAAGCCTGTTGATGTGTGATGGAGTCCCCTTCTCTTTCTAGTCTTTAGCCCTATAAAACATGTGAAATGTATCCCTGGATCAACAAAATGTTAATAAAAAAGTTGAGTAAGAGGTACAGAAAACACAATATTTTAATCCCTACTTCCTTGAGGTTGGGGTTGGGATAATTATCCAAGACTTCAAAAGCCACCAATTTCAATGGATGATTTCAAGAAATGATGATGTCTGGACTATGGTGTCAGTGGAGGGAGTCAAAACAGGCAAGATGGCAATCGTGGTAGCATATTTCAAGCTCTGCCCTTTTGGTATGTGTGTCAACGATGCATGAATGACAAACGGGTGGGGCTTTAATTGGGCTTCTGTGACTGTCATCTTGCCTGTTTTGACTCCCACCCACCCCTGCAGACACCACTGATCTGGTTTTGGGAATGCTAGCTTAAGATCAGTGGGGAAAAAAAGAAAAGGGGAGGGCTTTTTCTCAAAATATTCTTCCTACTTAATTTCTAGTTATATATCTGGGGTGTGTGTGTGTGTGTGTGTGAGTGAGTGTATGTGTGTGTATGTGTGATATATATATATCAATCAACTCCTAGCCTTCCTTCTCATATTAAATTTTAGATATTTATATTGGTTAACATCCCCTTATCTAGTTATGTGCAGTCTTCTGTTGCAAAACTGCTTATAGTCCAATGGTTACTCTCCTACTTCTAAGCACTTAAATGTGATTCCATATCCTGAGATTTCTGAAATATTTACCAGGCTGATACAGCATATGGTTGGTTATATATTTGATTCTAAAACATTGCTAAAACAGGATGACTACAATAGAAGAATAAAATGAATAATACAGTGAAGCTAAAAGCAGATCAAACTTTCAGACTACTTTTCTTGTTCACTCTGATTCTTCCTTTTAGATTGATTGACTGAGCCTCCAGTTTCTCATGGTGATTCATACCTACTGTTTCACAACTTGGATTCTTCCACAGGTTAAACTTGGCGATCCCTCTTGATGAATATTTTGGCCAATTTCTTACTATTCAGTTCACAATTCTTCTGGTCAGATTACATGCAACATAACATTAAATGAGCCCTTGGATTTAACATGCATTGATTTGGATATTGTAATTTGAAAAATGTATTGTTTCTGTGTGTGTGTGTGTGTGTGCGTGTGTGCGAGAGAGAGAGAGAGAGAGACAGAGAGACAGAGAGATAGAATGAGCAAGCAAACAGGTAAGGATGTTTAACTCTTTTATCTACTGATGTAATTGTGTAAGGCTGGTATTTTGTTTGGAGGAAATCTTCCATTGGCACCTTTATGAATATTGTACCAATTTTCAGAGAAGAGACTCAAATCACAACTGCAACATGGAAGAAAATAGTTGTATTCCTCTACAACACTATGCTTATATTTAATATGTACTTCTCCACACTCCATTTTATATGCAGATGCATTCAATATCATGACCTAGTTTTGTATTATGCATTTTGTGTGGTCATTAGGTTGTTCAAAAATGTGTCTGGTTTGAAATTTTAAGCAAGGCAACCTGATTGCCTGGATTAAAAAATAAAATAGAAGGGTTTTTTAAAAAAAATTCTCCTTGCATTTTTGAAAAAAAAAATCCACGCAGTATTTAACAAAAATCATAGACCAATGTGCTAATGGGATGAAACAGAATTACAAATGAATGTGAAGCTGACAAGGACCAGAGATAAATCCTTCCATTCTTAATGTCTCTGAGTCCTGGACCTCAAATGTGGATGTTGTTTATTATCGTCTTAGACCTTCAATAGCAGTCTTGTGAGCAGTTTCAGTGTATTTGATGGGTGCTCTCCTATGCTAGATAGAGCCTTAAAACATACTCTGATAGCTGCTAAGCAACATTCAGCTATTGCACATGTAATATTGGTGCCACACTCTGCCAGGACACTAAGACAAATAAGATCTACATTCTCCTCTACTTGGTAAGCTTTTAAAAGAAGCACGATTAAGGTAGCATGTAAATCCCTATAAAAATTGCAGTACAGTAAGATGTGGTGTACATCCTCTATTGCATGAGAACATAAGAGCAAAATGTTCATAGTTTTATATGCAGAGATGTAGAAAAATGGAGCATTTAAATCTTTGATCACACGCTTGCACATTTGAAATGACAGAGTCTACATTCAGTAAGGTATTCTGACTTTGTGTTAGAGAAATTAGAAGAACAATTGTGTTAAAGAAATTAGAAAAACAATTTGCTGAAAAATTGTTCTTCTAATCTCAGGAGGAAGTTATTGGACAAAATACTCGGCCCATAAAGTGGGATATTGTTTGGGATGTTCACAAAGTAAAAACATCTGTTTGGCAACTCTGTCTAGTACAAGAATTTGGAAGTCAGAATACAGAGTTTTGCCCTTAAATTTCCTTCTTCACTGAGAGAATTAATAGGAAATGACTTGATGTTTCAAATATTGGCAGCAATCCAGAGGGATCCTTTAGATACATCCGATATGACTTCTCTGCCTTTCTTGGAAAGTAGCTTCTCCAATGTTTACCATTTTTTTTTACTAGTAACTTATCTTCAAAATGTAGGCAGGAATAGGACAAAAACTAAATGTGCTCTAACATAATCTAAATACAGGAAGTAACTTCATTAAATTTAAATTAATGTAGTTGATATGATTGACTGAAAAATATTTAATGATTTCATTACTTCCAATGCCATTAATATTATAATTTGACAGCAACATTTGACGGGATTCTGGAGGTGATAGGGTTGCACACTTCTGATATACTTCACTGTACCAGTTCTAACATTTCTTTGGGTTTCCAAATGATTTAGGAGACTGCTAGTTCAATGCTATACATAATTGCTGGCTATCAGACTCAAGAATGCACTGATTGTATCAGGATCTTATATGCTTTTCCTAATAGCATTCTGGCCAATAAGGAAGAGACTCTACCTTTCTTCCTTCGTACTCCATACAGAGGCACAGCTTTCTATGCTATGACCCAATATACTGCCAAAGGAACTATTACATGACAGTGTTAATTGAGAGAATTTATATTAATGCTTATGTTTTGTGTTCAGGGTGCTCCAGGTGTTATTGGACCTCCCGGACCTCCTGGGCCCAAGGGGGATGGCTTTCCTGGTCCACCAGTAAGTGTAACTTCACTTATAATTTCTTCTCTGATGTTTAAGGATAGTGAATGGAGTTCATTATATGTATGTATGTATGTATGTATGAATGAAGGTGAAGCAGTTTTATACTGGCTGTGTGCACATATAATATAAGCCATGATTTTTTAAATCATGATTTGTTGAACAAGTCAAAGGTGCCTGGTCTGCACATTGGGTTAAGCCAAAAATAAACAAATCACATTATGTCTTAGTGGTAGGTGCAAACCCCTGAGTCGGAATATTCTTCTTAGTCCTGTCTGCACTGAATGGCAGGGACTTCCCAGGATTTCAGGCTTTCTCAGATTTTCCTGGAAATGTTAGAAATTGAATTTGGGCTCTTACACCTGCAAAGTGTATCCTGAGTGCCTCTAATTCAAAAACACACACGCTCGTGCAAAACCAAAAAAACTGTTATTTATTGTTCTGTAAAGCTAATTTGCCTGTCTGTTTTCTATAACCCCGCTAGGGACCTCAAGGAATGCCTGGTCTTCAGGGACCAAGAGGCCTTAAAGGAGCTGGTGATCCAGGTCAAAAGGTGCTGATGCTGTAGTCCTATTTATCTTTTACGTCCTTTATAAATTGCAATATTGTTCTGAGAAAGCATATTTTGTAAAATATAGACAATCCAGTAGACTCTTTAAGTAATAAATGCATACCTTTGTAAAAGAAACAAAGAAGCAGATATCATTAATAGTATTCTACAGCAGTGTTTCTCAATCTCAACAACTTTAAGATGTGTGAACTTCAACATCCAGAATCCCCCAGTCAAGTGGCTGGGGAATTCTGGGAGTTAAAGTCCACACCTTTTAGAGTTGCTAAGATTGAGACACATTGTTCTACAGCATTTTATGGCAGCTGTAAAACAGGTGGCTTTCATTCTCTTGTTACGTTTGGATGGATTTCCACATTCCATTGTGTCAAAGGAGCATTCTAACAGTGTCATGTCATTTGGAGAATCAGAGCTGTTAATTATATGCAGCAAAGACTCGCTGTTCATTTGTGCTAACAGATACAAAGTACCTTTGTATAGCTATCCTTTGTTTCCATGCTGTTGGCATTATGAGGGAGATTCTCAGCACATTGTAGAAAAATCCAAAAAAGCTCTGAGTGGACTTCTGTATGTTTTACAAGACTTAAATTTGGGAGTAAATTCTCTCTCTGAAAGGTGAACATTTGAAGTTGTCATGCTCTTGAAATTCAGGAAATTCTCTCAAATTTGGTTTGGCTTTGGCTCTGGCTCTACGAACAGGATTTGCATCAAGGAAAGCTGATGATATTAATACACTTTAAAAAACATTACACACATTGTGGTGTAAAAAAACCATGTATGAAGGAACAGGTCACCTGGGGGGGAAATTGTATTAGGTGTTACTGCAGTTATGTGATATCTAGCTTGTGTAGCTATTTCTTCTTCTGGGGCTACATGAGGTGGTAATGGATAAGTAGAAGGTAGAACTTCACCAAGCAGCTTAAGTCCCAATAGAACCAAAAAGTTCAGAGGCCTTGTGTAGGAAGGATGTGAAATCACAGGACATTTTTTTTTAAAAGTTCTACCCATTAGAGCAGTGTTTCTCAACCTTGGGAACTTTAAGATGTGTGGACTTCAACTCCCAGAATTCCCCAGCCAGCATGGCTGGCTGAAGTGTGAAGTCCACACATCTTAAAGTTCCCAAGATTGAGAAACACTGGACATTTTTTTTTAAAAGTTCTACCCATTAGAGCAGTGTTTCTCAACCTTGGGAACTTTAAGATGTGTGGACTTCAACTCCCAGAATTCCCCAGCCAGCATGGCTGGCTGAAGTGTGAAGTCCACACGTCTTAAAGTTCCCAAGATTGAGAAACACTATTAGAATATTGGCTAGGAATCCCCGATTGCTCTCTGGAAGGACTAATCCACATTGCATTCTGCTAGGGCAGCAACATTAGTGGCCTCATTGTAGGTAGGCTAAAGTGGCAGAACTTTTTATATCAGGGTTACTGACTTTAAATCGCAAACCTCGTAACTCAAGCATCTGGACTAAGTTTTGGACTTTCCTGCTTCTTCCCTGTCCCCTGCTGTTTGTAGGACCTTGATTAATGAAGTTCTGCAACATTTCAAAGCTTGCAAGCCCATTTATTTCATTTTGGCAGGTCCTCATATAGGTAACTATGGATATTTTCCTTCATGAAATAATACAGCTATGGTTGCTTTCCAAATAATTCGTAAAATGTGACATTGCTTTTCTTCTCTCCACAAGGACATTTATTTCTTCTTTCACTATTGACAGAGTGAAAGGAGGAAAATCCAACCAATCCTTTTTGAGTCTACCCCTAATTGCTCATTTAAATTTCACTGCTCTAATCCCCAGATATTTAAAAACAGCTTCCTTTAAGTGAAAAGCCCCCAGTAATAAATTTGCATACAAGTCAAGCTGGAATGCTGCTAAGTTTCACTGTGTAAGAATGTTCCCTGAAGATCAGTTGGAGCTCTGTTTTCTTGGCTTGAGAGATGGCTCACACATGTGCCCAGCAGAGAATTGGAATTTGATGTAACAGAGGCTCAATTCACACAAAATTGCCTGTGGGTTGCATGAGCTTTATGGGCACAGCCTTATTGTTGAGCACATCGCACACAGTAAAGGAGCAGAGCTGTAATCACAAGTGAAGATAAAATGCATGACTTTCAAGAAATTGCAGCCTAAATAGCCCAGTAGAAGGCAGAGACTCCACGGTATTCTTTCTATAAACCAGATCAAAGACCTATACCACCAACATCGTCCCTAGGAGACATGGTAGGCCAGCTGCAAGAAGAATGTCTTTTTAAACTGTGACCTCTCAGGTTCTGGCTGAACTCCCAAAAAAAGCAGAATGGCTGTTCCTCACTCCAGGCATGCTATTAATCTCATGGTTACCAACCATGCAGGGCTCGTGGACTGGCTCAAAATATGTTGCTGCCAGCAACAACGGTGGAATATTCTCTGCTGCATTCACACCTAGTGGATAACTTAAAGGGGTTGGGATCTAATGCGGTGTTTCTCAACCTTGGCAACTTGAAGATGTGTGGACTTCAATTCCCAGAATTCTGGGAGTTGAAGTCCACACATCTTCAAATTGCCAAGGTTGAGAAACACCTATCTAATGTGTGATTTCCCAGAGGAAAAGCGTAAGAGCCACTGTCCTTCAGCTTCTAATACTAACAGTGGGGCTGGCAGTACGGAATAGGTGGAATTTTAAAGTTTGGACCCAGCTACAAAATTGTTCTGGTAACTATATGCCTTCTAAATATATCTACTAAGTTGCCATCTTATTTATTTTAAATGTTTTTATTTGGCTTTTCTGTTATAAAGCACTCAAAGCACTCCCACCCTCCCTCCTTATATGTCTGTTTCTGTCTCTGATGGTGGGGGAGAGCATTTGGTTGCTATTCCCCTTGGGGACACCATCTATTGTTGATTTTATAGCTCTTGTGTATGTCAAACCACCCACAGTCTTTTGGAGTTGGGTGGCCTAAACATTTGATTATTAAATAAATAATAAAGAGCTAACAACAGTGATGAAAACCAGGATTTTTTTAGAAATGCAATGTCCAGTGAAAAGCAAGATGGCAATACTTTCCCTCTTTTTTGGCCCTACGTAAGAGGCAACACTAATTCTAGTTCCTTACACAGGGCTAGATTTGATCTATCCAAATTTAGTTGGAAGTGGCCCACCCAGGCCAGATTTGGCTTGTTCTGCCAGACAAAATGGAAATGAAACAGATCTTATCCTCCATCTGTCCCATTATCATTCCCATCCTGCTTCCACTGCTGCCTTGATGAAATGAGAGGAATCTCTGTGCAAACAAGAATAGGTACAAAATGACAATGGCCTCATTTCACTTTTATATGTGGTAAAGATGTAAGAAATGGTTCTGAACTTCTGATTTCCAAGAGCTCTGGCAGAGATGAATCAACGTCCAAGGGGGTTGTTGGGGACACTGTGTCGTTGGGAAATGTGACTGCTGTTGAGCCATGACTATAGCTACATGTGTAGATCCAGGGAAGGAGAGACTCAAAACAGTGTTAGGAGGTGCAAAAGGGATATAAATTGAGCAAGAGATTAGTGCAAAGCTTGCTGGGAAATTTTAATGGTAAGCAGCCTAAACCTATCTATACTGATTTGGAGATATGTCAGTGGAAAGCAGCTTATTCCCTAGCAAGAATTCATAGAATTGTAGTTTAAAATGCACTGTGTGTGCTCATCCTTGGCAACTCCACAAATGTCTTACAACACTGAGTATGGTAATTTAAGAATCATTTGGCTCCACCTACTGGTAGCACTTCAAGAATCTCAATACAAATATTTAGTGCCAATTCTGATTGTGTACCTTTACTAAAGCTACTTGAAGCTGCTTCCTCTGAAGTTATTATTAGATTTTTATCCCACCTTTATCTATTTATTTATTAATAATAAAAAATCTAATAATACACATACACAGCTCAAGGGTGAAGATACCTAGTACTCCCTCCTCCTCTTTTCCCCACAACAACCACTCTGTGAGGTGGGTTGGACTGAGCGAATGAGACTGGCCCAAAGTCACCCAGCTGGCTTTCGTGACAGCTAGCTATTTCATATTTTAACTCAAAAATCAAAAGGAAAGGTGAAACAGGGAACAAAGCAAGCAGCATGGGAGGTATCTGTGGTCACATTGTTGCCCATGCACATCATGTTGCAGGTCCCTGATTTCAATGCTTCTCTCAGTGGAAAATATTTCGCTTAAATTTGTCAGTATCAGATTGCATATAACATAGAAAAATGGGATTAAAGTAGATGCAGCAATCTAAACTATATCACCAGTTGTCACACTGCTAAATTCTTTTGAAGTTGTATATCCTTCCGTCTTTTGTTTGAATTATTAAAAGGGCTACTGTGTAGAGTTAACATACACCACAGGCAGTGTTGAATTACTCCAAATCTTCCTGCCTGTGTTTTCTTTATCATGAGGTTTCTACTGAATGCAAAATCTGTGTCTGTTTGTGAGAGAAGTGGTTTGAAGGGATGAAATAGCATGAAAAAAGGTATAGTGGGCCCCTCTCCCCACTATATAGTTGGGTTAAACAAAAAGTGATGGAGTAGCAGACAAGAGATCTAAAAAAGAAACACAGAGGAAATACACAGAATAGAGAACAGCTACTATAAAGCATTATAGTAGCTATAGTAATATATGAAGCATCTGTACTATGGAGAGAATGTAGGGTAGTGCAGACCAGCTGGAAGTTATTTCTATAACAAATAATCAGTTTCATTTTATTCTGGTTGGAGTTTTGACTGAATTCAGCCACCACATGGCACATTTCCCTGCTTCAAATGTTTACCCTTCCAAAAGTTGATTTTTAGTTAAAAGATCCAAACCAAAACCAGACTATTATATGACACATGAAGGTTCATCTGCTTCCATGTGTACCTTCTTGGATCCAAAATCTTCATCTGAGGGCCATCTTTGGAATACTGTTTGCCAAGTAATGTATGGTAATGACTATATATGGTGGTATCCCAGCCTTGCCTGTATAGCTTGGAAGAACCTAGTTTTGAAAGGTAGCATACACTTTTTGAAATTAAATTAAATTAAAATAAAATAAAATAAAATAAAATAAACATTCTGTTTTTCCCAGAGAGGGTTGCCTGTGAGACCTGGTATGGTATTCTAGGGGCCATAAGATTACTCAGTTTTTTTCTGAGTTGAACACACAGCTCTGATTTCAGAAGGGGAAATCCAGCATTGAATCCCCTATTCCTGCCAGGCTTTGCAGATGAAACTTTCTGCTCTCTTTGGAAAGTCCAAGGAGAAAGCAATGGCAGTGCTGGAAGAACCTTAGATCTGAATGATCCAAATCCAATGATTCCTATTTGTTTAATGTGTGTTTTGTCATGTAAGATGCCCTATGAAGTAGTTGCTTTACTAGCCTCTAAATCACTTAGGTAGGTAAAGCAGATAAGGAAAGATACAGACATTGCAGATTACATGAAATATTTGGCTCTGCTTGTTTGAGTGAAATGTCATATACTACCTCTAATACAATTTACTTTGAAATCACACTTGGCTTATGAGATTGCAATCCCTGTATCTTATATTTTCCTTCCTTCCTTCCTTCCTTCCATCCATCCATCCATCCATCCATCATGCTTGATCATTCATAAACTTATGTGATGACAATGCCTGTCTTTAATTTCTTTCTGTTAGGGAGAACAAGGAGCACGAGGAGCACCGGGGCCTCCTGGGCAAAGGGGAGTAGGAATACCTGGGCCAAAGGTCAGTGAGAAGTTCTGAATGCTGGGCAAATGAGGGTAGTGGTGGTGGTGGGGAACATTTCAACTGGTCCTCAAGCTCAATGATTGTCTCAAATTTAGACATTTTCTAATTTAATAAATATTTGGGGAAAAATAACAACTTTAGCTAATGAGCCCAGCTTTTGCAAATTAATAATACTGTATGTTCTTTGTGCTCTAAACTTCTCATAAAGAATATAGCTCTTTTTCATACTGGAAAGAGATCACTGTATGATACCAATTTCAATACTGTTTTACTCCCTGGCTGCTTCTCTCTTGGAAACCTTAAATTAATTATAATCCACATTTTATAGATTATTGTGACCATTTTATCATTATAATTTCTCAACTGTTTTGAGAAATAATGGAAAGACAAATTTGGACAACTTGTTGGCAGGGACAACCTTAAGCCTGTGTTTCCACTTGCAGCTAGTTCTTTTTCTGTTATCTTCCTATGATGTTGTCTCATCTTGTCCCCAGCCCAGGAGTGAGACAGACTTAGGTCATTCTTCACTGTACTAGTAAAATAGCATATTCCTCTTTATTCCAACACAATCCAAGGGCAGCCTCTTGGTGTGTATAATCTGTTATGCTCTGTCACTGATTATCTTGGGTGGAAGTCATGTGACTGCAGTGGCATATAATAGAGGGAGACAGAACTTAGTTATCGGAACAGCAGATTTCATGCTAGTATAGTTTTCTGCCAACTCAAGAATGAAAGGAATACTAAAATGTAGTAATGGGGAAGTGCCTTGCATCCTATATCTTCATTCAGTTAAATTGGCCTTGGTCAGATATTTGCTTTAGGCACATATAAAGATTTATATTTACCTACTGGATTTTCTTTGCATAATAGGATACTGTAATTGCTTTTGAAATGACACGTAGTTCTGGAAGGTGTTTGTTAAGTTGCCTAATAAATTGCTTTTCTGGGAAGGGAAAATCCAAGATCCTCTTTGGCACAAAGACGTAATCCATCATGCCTTTTAATGGTGGTTGTTATATCTGTGAGTGTTGCAATCCTATGCCTAGACTTACCTCAGTGAATGCCACGGATCTTACTTCTGAGTAGCAAAGGTGAGCAGATGTCAGGCTTACTGGATTTTTCTGTTTGCTTTTTCCCTACAACCTCAAGTGGCAACCAAAGAAATGTGCCACAGACAGACATGGTTAAAATTAAAGACAGCTATATGGGAATTGATTTAAGTAGTTTTTCTTACTAATTGCTCATCATGGTGGTCTTGGCCAAAAACCCTGGCTTAAGAATTAGGTATGTACGTTTACTGCATATATTTAACAAGACACACATGAACAATACAGGTCACTTTTGAATAATTCAAACTATACTGATTAGCAATATAGAAGAACTTAGGTAAGATCGTACTACGCTCTACGTAGGATTAGATTTACATCCCTTGTTACAAATAGCTACATTTATACTGGGGCAACTCCTCCGGTCTGGATTGCCAGCCCATAAGCATCTTAAAGGGATGTTCTCATATCCAGTGATAACATACAATAACCTATCCAAAATCCATCCCTACAGCAGCACATGTCTATATCTAACTTATTAGTTCCCCGCTCCTTTCTTACACTTGATCATGATGAAGCAATGCTCATGACCGATTAAAAAATATTAACAGATATGTTTAACCGTGACCATACACAGGAAAGGGATTTCATTGTTTGGTTATCAGAGCATGTTGACCCAAACAATGCACTAGAAACTTTCACTTCCCATCTAGGTAACTGCCAAAACTGTATGTTAGAAGAGGGAAAAACAAAGCACAGGTGAAAAAAGAACCAGGAGGGATCTGGAATAACAAGAACAACAATAATAATACAGGTAGTCCTTGCTTAACGATCCTAATTGGGACCAGCAACTCCATTGCTAAGCAAAGCAGTCATTAAGCAAAACATCACATAACTGCCCTGCTTAGCAATGGCAGTTCTGGCAGTCCCAGTTGCAGTCGTTAAGCAAGACATCACATGACCTTGTGACTTCCTGCTGGCATCCCCATTGACTTTGCTTATTGGAAGTCGGCTGAGAAGCTCGCAAATGGCAATCATGTGACTGTGGGATGCTGTGACCATCATAAATGTGCAATGGTTGCCAAGTGCCCAAATTGTGATCACGTGACCATGGAGATGTTGTGACAGTTGTAAGTGTGAGGACATATTGTAAGTCACTTTTTTCAGTGCTGTCATAACTTAGAACATTCACTAAACAGATGGTTGTTAAGGAAGGACCACCTGTAGTGAGGAGGAGGAGGTGGTGGTAGTGGTATTTGTTAGATTTCTTGCATTTCCTTCAAGAACTCAAGGTGGCTTACATGGGGATCCTTTTTCATTTTGTCCCCACAACAGTAACTCTGTGTGAGAGGTTGTGCTGAGAGGGAGTGACTAGCCCAAAGTCACAAAGTGAGTTGGACTATTTACCTACTGTGTGTGTTTGATAAAATCCAAACAGCTAAAAGTCCAAGCTTAATATGCAAGATTTGATGGAAACTAAAAAGAATGATGTGGCTTCCAAGCACAACCAGGATATGATTAGGATATGAGTCTTCACCATAAGAATGTATGGGCATTTATCACAATGCCTGTGTACATTAAGCTTTAGGCCTGTGGGTTGCCATCTAAAAGGGCAGTGGAAAACAAAACTTTTATTTTATTTCTTTCATCAAATGTAAATAAAAATAGCCCATAAGGAACAGAAAAAGCAGACAAAAGTCTAGCCACAAGAAGCAAAAGATTGTAATAGGTACAAAAGTTAGAGAGAGCACTGAACGAAATAGGAACCAAGACACACTTAGAAAGACAGAAGGCTTTAAGGCTTTTTTTCTGGCAAGAAAAACCAAATGGACAGGTACAAGGTAGGTGGTACCTGGCTTAGGAGTAATGCTTGTGAGGTCTGGGTATCACAGATTAAGCATGAGTTGCAATGTGCTGCAGCTGTCAAAAGAGCCAATACCATTTTGGGCTGCATCAGTGGAGGTACAGTGTCAAAATCCAGGAAGTGATATGTACACTGGTCAGACTACACCTGGAATACTGTGTCCCATTCTGATGGCCACAATGCAAAAAGGATGCCGTGGAACTAGAAAGAGCACAGAGCAGAGCAAGAAAGATGGTAATGCGCTTGGAGGCTAAACACTATGAAGACTGGTTAAAGGAACTTGGTAAGTTTAGCCTAAAGAACAGAAGGCTAAGTGGATAGATGATACCAGTCATCCAATATATGAAGGGATGTCAGAGGGAAGAAGGTGTGGATTTATTGTCCAGAGCACCCAAGGGTAAAACAAGACCCAATGGGTAGTAGCTTAATAGAGAGAGATCCAAACTTGAAATAAAGAGGAATTTCCTAATTTTGAGAGCTATCACAGAGTCACCCATTGGGGGAGATGGGCAGCATACAAATTTAATAAATAAATAAATAAATAAATAAAT